GTGGAAGGATGGAAGTACCACCAAGGAGGAGTATTAAGCACTGGCCTATACCTGCAAGGAGCGGATCAGAAAAGCCAAGGCTACAACCGAGCTCCATCTGGCTTCACATATCAAGGATAACAAAAAGTCCTTTTCCAGATATGTAGGGAGTCAGAAAAGAAGCAAGAGTAACGATGGACCCCTGCTGAACCAAATGGGACAGCTGAAAACTGACACCAAGGAAAAGGCCAATCTGCCTAATGGGTACTTTGCATCTGTCTTTCATCAGTCCAATGGGACCGCCCTGCCTAGCAAGACATGGGATGGCCAGTGTGAGGCATATTTATACCCAGCATCAGTGTTGATCTAGTAAAGGATCACCTTGAGAGGCTGGACACCTTCAAGTCAGATGGTCCTGACAGATTACACCCTAGAGTACTCAAGGAGCTGGCAGGTATCATAGCCCAACCATTGGCAAAAATATTTGGAAACTCGTGGCACTCAGGTGAAGTACCTCACAAGAGAAGGCTGAGGGGGGACCTGGTGACTGTCTATAAACTCACTAGGGGGAACCAGATGGGTTTGGGGGAGACACTGTTTCCCCTAGCGCCCCCTGGCATAACAAGGAATAATGGACACAAATTACTGGAGAGCAGGTTTATATTAGACATCCGCAAGAACTACTTTACAGTTAGGGCGGTTAGGATCTGGAACCAACTTCCAAGGGAAGTGGTGCTGGCTCTTACCCTGGGGGTCTTTAAGAAGAGGCTTGATGCCTACCTGGCTGGACTCATTTGAGTCCAGTTTTTTCTCCTGCCCAGGCAGGGGGTTGGACTTGAAGATCTACAAGGTCCCTTCTGACCCTACTTCTATGATTCTATGACCTGAACACTGGAAGAAGGCCAACGTGGTGCCCATCTTCAAAAAAAGAGTGGAAAGTAGATCCTCGGAATCACAGACCAATCAGCTTGACCTCAATCCCCGGTAAGATTCTGGAGAAAATGATCAAGGAGACCCTTCCGGATAAGCTGGTAGAGGGCAACATCCTGAGGGACAGGATGGGTTTATCACGGGTAGGTCTTGCCTGCCCAATCTCATTTCCTTCTATGACTAGGTGACATATCACCTGGACAAGGGAGAATAGATTGATAATCATATATCTGGACTTCAAAAAAAGCCTTTGATCTAGTGTCCCATGATCTCCTCACAGAAAAATTGGCCAACTGTGGCCTCAGCTTCACCACAGTCTGATGGCTGGGAAATTGGCTCTGAGGTCAGACCCAGAGAGTAGTGTTCAATGGTAGTGAATCATTATGGTGTTCTGTGACCAGTGGCATCCCCCAAGGCTCTGTCCTTGGACTGGTCCTCTTTAACAACTTTATCAACGATGCGGACATTGGAGTCAAAAGCGCGCTGGCTAAGTTCACCAACAACACTAAACTTTGGGGCATAGCATCCACACCTGAGGGCAGGCTAATGATCCAGGCTGACTTGGATAAACTTACTAAGTGGGCAGAAACAAACCTGATGATGTTCAATGTTGGTAAATGTAAGGTACTCCACCTGTGGGGGGAAGGGTGGAACCCACAGCATGCTTATAGGCTAGGCAGTACTACATTTGCTAGCACCACTGCTGAAAGAGACTTGAGCACAAAATGAACATAAGCCACCAATGTGATGTTGCAGCTGGCAGAGCAAACAAAACTCTGGCTTGCATCCATAGATGCTTCTCAAGTAAATCTCAGGATGTCATCCTCCCACTGTACTCGGCCTTGGTGAAGCTGCAGCTGGAGTATTGTATCCAATTCTGGGCTCCACAATTGAAGAAAGATATGGAGAAGCTTGAGAGAGTCCAGAGGAGAGCCACACGCATGATAAGAGGGCAAGAGAACAAGCTTTATGAAGAGAGGCTGAGAACCATGGGACTCTTCAGCCTGGAAAAGTGCAGGCTCAGCAGGGACCTGGTGGCTGCCTCTAAGTACATACAGGGTGTACATCAGGATCTGGGGGAACGTCTGTTCACCAAAGCACCCCAAGGGATAACAAGGACCAATAGTCATAAACTCCTCCAAGACTCTTTTCTTTACTGTCCGAGCCCTCAAGACCTGAAATAGACTCCCTCCAGAAGCGGTGCAGGCACCTACTCTGGACTCATTCAAGAAACATTTGGATGCTTATCTTGCTGGGGTCCTTTGACTCCAGCTGACTTCCTGCCCTATGGGCAGGGGGATGAACTTGATGATCTTCAAGGTCCCTTCCAGCCCTAACTTCTATGAAATTTATGAAATCTCTCTGTTCTACCTAAGCCCCAGGACCTATTTCTCCATCCTCCCCTTTCAGACAATGCCTCCATTCCCTCCTTCCTCATGCCACGGGCTGTATAAGTTCTCCCAATTTGCCATGACAAGCAGCTCTGCATACCCTTAAATCTCAATTCCTCTCTTCCCCAGCCTCCTCAGTTTCTTTGCCCACTACCAGTATATAAATCATTCAGGGTGCCAATATGTCAAACTATTAAGAGGAGAAGTAGACAGTAGGAATATTATGCTATAAGGGATTAAGAGTTGAACACCAGGTTGGTCCACACAATCACAATCCTGCTTGAAGCTACAGCTGTACTATAAAACTAGTAGGGGTTCCATAGATTCCTTACCCCTCTTCTGGCTTTCTAATCTTCCTGCTAATTTTCTCCCCTGCTTCCATCCCAAAAAACACCACACCAGGTTCTACTCACTGCTGCCTAAAATAATCATTTAAACTTTGGAATTGATTAGACAGGGTGTTCAAGAACCATTTTATACAAACAGGCCATTTGTCTTATAAGCCTAGTCAATAAGATAAAAGATTGCTGTGTAAGTGGATTGTTTTCTTATAGTTAATTTAGGATCATGCTTGAGCGTATTTGAAATTCACTACCTGACTGAATTAATCAGTCAAGTCTTACTATAACTATTAATCTTACCTGCGCATGCGACAGCGATGCTTAGTCAGTCTGTTATAAGCATCACTTAAATCAGTCACATTTTGGCTGCTCCAAAGCCTCTCTGCAATGGCACTTGCCCGAGGCCTGTACAAAGATATTAAACATCAGTATTAGCACCAAAATACGGGCTGAAGTAATAAGCTCTGGCTCACTGCTAGTATAGGTCAGTGGTCCCACTGACCCATGGCATATTGCAGGATTAGTTCAGGTCCATTTTGATTAAAGTTTTCTGAAATCTAAAAGGGAACAAGAAGTTTTGTACCATAATCTTGGTGTGAGGTTAGTTGCATCCACAAACTCTCCCCAAAGGCAGGCTTCTCCACCTATCACCAGGCTTTTCTGCATTTGACTCCCTGTATTCAAAACAGAAATAATTTGGAAGTTAGAAACTCCAGCATAAGCATATAGACATAGTATACTTATAAGTAGTCTATGATGAACAAAGCTGAGGGTAAATAAATGCTCCAGTTTCTAGACAGCTACTTATACAGATCAACTAAGAGTCATTTTATGGATGTACAGACAATAGGTGTATGGATAAAAGCTATAAGAAATAGAAAGGGCCAGTGATTTGGGCATCATTACAGTTCTCAATATGACTTTGGTGACAGTAGGGTAGGTTGTGAGCAAATTACACTGCAAATAACTGAACAGTTTAAGCAAGCCATAAAAAAGGCAGCTAGACACTTGGAATCATAGAAAGTTAGGGCTGGAAGGGACCTCAGGAGATCATCTGGTCGAACCCCCTGCTCAAAGCAGGACCAGCCCCAACTAGGTCATCCCAGCCAAAGCTTTGTCTAGCTGGGTTTTGAAAACCTCCAAGGATGGAGCTTCTACTACTTATCTGTTATTTAGAACTTGTAGGAAGTCTTTAAAATCTACCTTTTAAAGTTGTCTCAAAAGTTTCAAGTTTTAGTCAAGTACTGCAGGACACAGCATATTAGGACTGAGGGAAACTTTGTATCCTCCTTAGAACATGAGTAGGGGTCTACTCAAAATCAAAGCAGCTGGCTGATTTTGCAGGCAGATTGTGGGCCAGCTGCCATTTTCATGGGCTGATTGTGGTGGGCTCCCCCCCACACCCCCAATGCCTCTGGCCAAGAGGCCCTGGTGGCCCTACCCCTTGCCACTGATTGGGTTAGAGCGCTGTCTGTTGTGCAGCCCCACCCCTCACTGCTGATTGGTGGAGAGGGGTGGGGCTGCACAACAGGCAATCTTCTCAACCAAATCAGCAGTGGGAGCAGCAGCCATCCTGCCTGCTTGCCCCTTTTATAGACAGTGAAATCAAAAGCTTCAACAGGAGGGACTGAGCACACCCACTCCAGAATACCTGACAGCCTGATGGATTAGGGAACTTACCTGAGAAGCTAGAGATGCAGGTTCAAATTCCATTAAGTGAAGAACGAAGCTGAACCTGGGTTTGCTACATTCTGGGCAAGTATTCAAAACCTTGAGCTAGGGGTAAAAGGCCCATCAGCACTGCCTCCTGCCAGCAGTTTGAATCTACCACCAAAAATAGTTCCAAAGAACTACTGAACAAGGGAGTTAACACAAGTCACCACCTGGAAATAGCCAGAATTGTTTTTGGCATACTTACAATTCACAAAAAAAAAAACAGAAAAAAGTTTTGACCAGGCTGAATTATGACAGATTAAACCCCAAGTCCATCCAAACCAGTATCATGCATCAAAGAATGGCCAGTACCAATACTTCAGAGGATGGTGCAAGAAATTTAGGCTGATGTGGGAAATTTTACCTCAGCGCACACCCTAATAAAAGTTCAGACGAAATACCTCACTTCAGGTTGCAAGTCTCTTTCAAAGTTATGTTGGATTCTATAGCTCTGCCATTGCATGCATCTGTTTCTAAGCACAGAATAATGGCTGTATGTTAACAACATTTCATGCCTTTTGAGAAGCCACATACAAGTTCAAAAGCAATTTAACAAACCAAGAAAGTTGAGTGGCTCAATGCTGTAGTATTTCTTCCAGTCTTGCCCGTAACTAATGTAGTCTAAGTACCAAGGAGCTGCCAGGATAGTGGTGAACCCAGCGTGTGTTACACGACTCAGTTCTGCAGGATACTGGTTCCCAATCCACACTTCAACTACTGTGTCTGGTTTTAGCTAGAAAAATGAAAACATGGGTTAAAGGTGATTTTGCCACTAGTCCCATCACTAAACACCAATACTAAGTCTCATACTTAAGGGAATGTTTTTGTTGAAATGAGCCTTTAAAAAGTGATCACAGGCATCTGTTTTGGCTTTCTTTTGAAGTATTGATTCTTTGCTATAGAAGTTTTTAGTCTTGACATATCACTACTAAGCCTGTTTGTGTTAAAGGAGTTCATAATACAGCGTAGCCCAGAACGTGCGTTAGCCCTGTAAGTATTCAACTGAATGCGATTTTCTTCCATAAGCTATTGTCAGGCTGTCAGTGACTAATGTTTGTTCCAGATGCAGCTTTAGGAGTGAACTCAGCCCAAAAAAGGGATCCATTATTTCTCCCACCCTTCCAAGAGACTTGGAAATTCCTGTTCTACCCATTTTACTTGCTGGAGATATACTGATTTGAGGTTGACCTCAATCCTGTGCAGCTTTACCATATTTAGTCAAATCGAAGATGAGATTTCCCCCCCCACCCAATAAGCATGGGGATGGGTGGAAGCTTCATTTTGGATTCATGTACCAGCCTGGGGTAGGCAGCAGCTCAGTTCTGGTTTTGGCCTCAGGCTCATAACAGAAGCTGGAGTTGAGCCATTATCTGCCCTGGGGTCAGAATAGTTTGGGGGAGTGTGGGGGTGACAAGGGTGGGAGAGTAGAACCTGCAGCCTTCTCTCCCACCCCATGCCCCCAACCTTTCTCCCCTCTCCCAGCTGCCCACTCCCTACTTACTTTCTGCAGGGGGTGGGGGCAGGCATCCTGTCACTGCTTTCCCCACCACCATGAATGCCACATGCCCCCGGAGGCTGGGGGGCCATGGCGAACTCCCACAGGCAGTGGTGGCAGGACTGTGGCAGTGGCAAGCTACTGCAGGCAGCCACAGTGCTGGCAGTGGAGGGAAGGGGTGTGGGGAAAGCAAGTGCCAACCGGTGGTCAGCGACCACCTGCAGACACTGCTGGCAGCGGCAACTGGTGACCACCTGCAGACACTGCCAGCAGTGTTGGCAACAAGGGGCAGGGTGGCAAGCAGCAGCCACCCACAGGCACTGCCAGCAGTGTTGGCAGCACCTTTTTGCAGAGGATGCACTGCCAAGCTCAGGAGGTGCACATGTACCCATGTGCAATCCCTATGTATCACCAATGTCCACCATAGCAGTGGGAGTTACGAATTTAAGACTACCTTCCACTAATTAATTATTAATTCATAATTTTCCATGTATAGAATCTAGTTATTGCGGGGGGGGGGGAGGTCATCTTGATTCAGATAAATACAGTAAGTACATATAGTTTCAGAAGTCAAACTATTTACGTTTTTGCAGATTTTGGGTTTAGTCTACAAAGTTTGGGCAGCATAGTTTTTGGCTATAGGAATAAAAAGATCAGAACACACTCATGTACACCAGCTTTCATTGATGCCAGAGGTATTACCAATGAAGCTATACTGACAGAAGGACTTGTCAGCTTAGCTTATGTATTTCAGGGATGCGGTGTAACTAACCCAAAAGAATAATTCCTTCTATATCTACAGTAGGAGTCTCTTCTGACACAGCTATACCAGCATAACTATTTCATCAGAGACTTCACTGTGTTGATGTGCATATGTTCATACATATTGCATTTTTAAGCCTATCACAATACTGTATTGCTAAGGTTCCTGCCACACATTCAAATTAAAACTCAACAGAAACCAGCTGTAAAGCTGTTGCACATTTTCAAGCACTAACTTTGTAGCTGCTTGGCTCTTTTTATAGATGGAGCAACATTTTTATGGGGTGATAATTATTTTGCAAATTTATTATGCAATTAACCAGTTAATTGTGTAATATATGTAAGATGCGGTAGGGGCCAAAGTAATGCATCTGTCTACTTGTCAGATCTTACCTTTGCTCCATTATCAAATACTTCCTGCCAGACAATGTAGCCTTTGTTAAAAGAAGAAACAATATCCAAGATTCTAGAATTTAAAATAGAATTACATGTAAGAACTACCACTATCACACTTCACTCTTGAATTTACTGCAGATATATTGACCTGTGTCATGTTTGTATCTTAAAAGGCTTTGTAAACAAAAGCATATCAACCAAGATGATGAGACTTAAGCATTTCTTAACTGTCATTGGTCTGCCCCATACAGGACACCCTACCTATGAAAACGATGTGCAAACATATGGCTATACGGCATCTGGATGTTTGTGACCATTAATGCAAACCAGTGTCTCCAGCCAAAGACTCACTACTACAAAGTCAATGGAGTTGAACAGCTGCTTAAAAGCACTGGAGGTAAGTCAATATCAACAAAAAGGAATGAAGAAAAAATGGTTGTACAAAAGAAACAAAGGTCCTTCTAGTATACTAATTATAAAAGCTAACTGATCTCAGATTTACAAGTGATATTTAAAGTGATGTGTGCATTTAGATTGCTCATAACTATAACATCCAAAAGTGGTGTACAATTTAATGCTAGAAGTTTGAAAGAGGGAGAGTGGTCTCCTAGGGCACTTTTTCATGTGCTTCGGGGGTGGGAGTGGGGGATGCTTTAATTAGAGTGGCTTGTGTATCAGCATCCCTGTGCTTAAAAACGAGTTTTAGTTCAAGTTCCCTCACCACCATTTTTAAGTATGGGGATGCTGATACACAAGACACAGAGACTGCTGGAGCATGCTAATTGTCCCGCTCCCGACTCAATTAATAGAGTCTACTCCCGTGTGCTGCAATTACAGCACATCAGAGCAGCTTCTGCGCTCATTGCCAGGTTTTGTGTGTTACTCTAACAGCAGCAGCAGTACCTCCACCACATACATGCTACAGTCTGATTTAAACCAATTTTGATTTTAAGGATAAATTTTTGGAGGCTAGGAAAAAAGAGCTGGGAAGAATGTGAAACAAAATTACTTACTTCTGAACATAGTAAGATTCCAGTTTAGCATAGTCAGTGCCAAATCCCTGCTGCTTCATGAACTCATTCACATCAGGGTTAGATTTCCTTAGAAAAAAGGGGGGAAAGCAGTAGTATGATACCCAAACCCAAATTTTAGTAATTTTTTTTGTATGCAGCATAGGGAGTGTGGG